TGGAATTGGATATATATATATATATAAAGATAATATAATGGAGTTGGCGGCTGAAGCTTGTGCTCTGCTAGGGTTTCTGGGGAGCTGAAGCTGTGCAGCTACTAGTGGTGTCTGGTGGTTGCTGGTAAGGTGGTGAGGAGTGCTTCTCACTTCCTTTGGTTTTCCTTTGGTGGTGCCTCTCTTTGGGTTTTCCCGGGCTTGAAGTTTTTTTCAAATTGGTTACTGTTTTATTGAGCTGGAGTTTCTACCTTACACTTCTCTAATTTCTGTCTTGGACTTCTGAAATTTGTTCCTTTTTCCTTTTCTCTACCGAGAGCTCTGGTTTAGCTATTATTGAAGCTTCTTCTGCAATGGCCACTCCTATTGAAGTCCATACAGATTCACAATGGACTAAAGCTACAAATGCTGGTGTTGTTGGTAAAGCCAATCATACCCTTCAAGATCCTACAAAATTAATATTCCCTGAGGAATTTCACAATGCAGTTGCTGGTAAGGGGGTTTTCCCTTGCATTCACCCCCTTGGCACTAAGGATGGGGAAACAGTTGTTTATTTTTCTGATTCTGAAATTGCTTCACTGAATGAGGAAGTTAGATTCACTTTAGTGGGAAAGTTCCAATTGGGCCACCCCAAAATGGAGCTAGTTAGAAGCTTTTTTGACTCCCTTAACTTTATTGGACAGTGGAAGCTTGGCTTGATAGATGGCAGGCTTCTTCTCCTCCAATTGTCTATGGAGGAAGACTATGCTAGGATTTTTGCTAAGCAGGCAGTGATAATTGCTGGAGTTACAATGAAAATACAGAAATGGACTAAGGACTTTGACCCAACCAAGGAGCCTCCTATGGTTCCAGCTTGGTTTAAGATCCTTGGTCTTCCTCTACCTTACTTCAAACTTAATGCCCTCTTTAATATTGGAAGAGCATTAGGCACACCTCCTAAGGTAGATGCCCTACCTTAAATAAGGCTAGACTTGCACTTGCAAAAATCTAAGTTAAGAGAGACATAACACTTCCAGAGATAAAGAGGATATGGATTGGATCAGAAGAAGAAAGGTTTTGGCAGGAAATAGTTGGCCATACAATTGTAAAATGTTTGACCATACCATTGTGAGATGTTATAGGCTCCACCCCCTACTAAAAAGGCATCTGTCCAAAACCCAAGGTAGCTAGACAAGTTGCTAACCAAGTTCCAAGCATCAATTCTATTGAAAATAGTCATCTTAATGACAGTAGAGCTTTCAAGCAAATCAGTGGTACTCCTTTTGCTAATACTAACTATCCACACAATTTTGAGGATATTCCCTCTGGAGATCTTTTGAGGGAACTATTAGAATCCCAAGGTAACATTGAGATCACTCCAGGGAGAGCGGTGAGAGAAGAAATTAATGAAGTTACTACAAGAAGAAAAAACAGACATTAGAGGTGCAACAACTTCTACAAGGAACAAGTTCTCTGAAGATGGATGGGAGGGCTAAGACTAGCAATGGCTCTACCTCTACTTATAATAGAGGAAGAACTAGATCAAGGTCTCAACCCTCTATTCAACTTCCACCTATCAATGATTAATATTCCTTTTTGGAATATTAAAGTTTCTCATGATTAATATTTTGTGTTGGAATATTAGAGGATTGGCTAACCCCTCCTCTCTTAGAAGATTGAAACATCTCATAAGAACTCATAAGATTTGGTGTTTTCCTATTCTTGAGCCTATGGTTACTAAATATTCTAATAATATTACCAAAAAGTTTGCCAAATTCACTTTCTATGCTTATTTAAATAATAAAATCTAGCTTTTGTCAGACTTGAAATTCAGTTATCTTTGCTTCTTGATCACCAACAATTTCTCCATATACAATTTTCTATTGGAGCTCAGGTGGGTTATGCTTCCTTTAATTATGCTAGCAGTCTACCTAGACATCCACAAACTTTGTGGAATGATCTTCTACAACTGCGACAGCATATTGATTTAATTTGAATTTTAGGTGGTGACTTCAATTGCATCACTTCCCCAACTGAAAAAAGAGGGAGTAATGGTTCCTTACCTTCTGTTATTACCAAATTCAACAACTTCATCAGTAACGCTAGTTTATTTGATCTAGGCTTTCAGGGACTGTGGGAAAGACTGGATAGACTACTTGGCAATTCCCTTTGGTTTCAAACCTTTCCCTATTCTACTGTCACACGCCTTGTCATGGTTGGTTCTGATCATAGACCCATTCTTTGCTCTATACATAATTCTATCAAACCTCCTAACACTCCTTTTAGATTTCAGAATATGTGGGCCTTACATCCTGAGTTTCTTCAGGAAGTTGACAAAAACTAGGAGTCTAATAATGATGCACACCCTTGGATGAGACTGTGGATTCTACAAAAGAATTTGGCCTCCCGTCTTAGAAAATGGAATTGGGATAGATTTGGTAATGTTAAGGAGCAACTTGATGCTATCCAAAAAGAAGTCAACAGACTGGAACAAGGACTAAAATTGGGGATTAATTCTGAATTTGAAGTTCATCATGCAAATGTCTGACTTCTTGCACAAATCAACTACCAGAAAAGTTTCTTAAAACAGAAGGCAGCAGTCTCCAAATTTATTGATGGAGATAGAAATACTAGCTATTATCATGCCTGTATCAATTCCAGGAAGAAGTGCAATATGATTCTAAGCATCACCAATACTAATGGTCAGAAATTGACTAATGCTGATGAAATTGCTTCTGATGCAGTTAAGTATTTCCAAAATTTGTTTACCAGTAACCAAACTGACAGAAGCCCAATTGATGGTTATATTTCTTATGACTGCCAATAGTATGTCCAAGGATTAAATCTTATTAATATTCCTTTGAAAGATGAGATAAAAATTGCTTTAGACTCCATTGATGGTAGTAAAGTTGCTGGGCCAGATGGGTATACCTCAACCTTTTATAAAGCCACATGGGACAAGACTAGTAAAGACATTGTTCAAGATGTTCAACACTTCTTTCTTGGTGTGGATCGCCTTAGATATTTCAGTGCTTCTACCATTACATTGATACCAAATAATAACAACATACAAACTTGGAGGGATTACAAACCCATCAACCTAACAAATGTGATTTCCAAATTGATCAGCAAGATCATTATTTGCAAGCTTCAGCCACATCTCAGCACCTGATCAGTGACAATCAAGTAGCTTTTATTAAAGGGAGGAACATTACAGATAATATTATTCTTGCCCAGGAACTCCTATTGGATCTGGACAGAAATTTTAGAGGGGGGAATGCTATATTCAAGCTTGATATCAGGAAAGCCTATGACACCATCAACTGGGATTTTATTCTTGACACTTTATCTGCTAGATGCGTTAATGAGAACTTCATCAATCTGATCCACAGGTAGCTGAAGTGCAATGCTCATTCAACTCTGATTAATGGCAAATCCCATGGCTTCTTTCAAGCTTCCAGGGGTATAAAGCAGGGAGATCCATTGTCTCCAACAATTTTCATTCTAGCTCTGGACTATTTCTCTAGACAACTGAATAAGCTATTTACTGACTCTCCTCACATGGCATATCACCACAGATCAAATATTATTATAAGCCATTTAGCTTATGCAGATGATATTATTATCTTCTCCAATGCTTCAAAAAATTCTATCAGGAGGATACATAAATGTCTCCTACATTTTCAGCACACTTTAGGTATGGCTCTTAACCAACAGAAATGTCAATTTCTTGTTAACACTAACTCCACTTCTCAGACCAAGCACTGGATTACTGATTACACTGGATTTTGCTATGTTAACCTTCCTATTAAATATCTTGGAGTACAATTACTCAAAGGCAGAACTAGAAAAATACAATTTGAAGAAGTTATTGAAAAAATCAAAGCACAACTAGATAGTTGAACTAATTCTTTCCTGTCTAAAGGTGGGAGGATCACTATTTTGAGGAGCATTCTGACTGCCATGCCATCTTATGTCCTTCAAATGTTCTCTATGCAAAAGGGTACACAAGTAGTAATTGGAAGGATCTTCAATAAATTTCATTAGTCTGGTAAAAGGAAACAATTCCATTGGCTCTCTTGGTGCAGGCTGGGTGAATGGGCTTTAAGGATTTGGGTTTTAAAAACCTTTGAAAATTGTGGATCAGATTCAGAGCCCAGGATAGTCTTTGTGCCAGATTTCTGAAGGGGAAATATTGTAGAGCTATGCATCCTGCCTTGGTTACCAAAAAAATGGGGGATTCGAAACTGTGGTCCAAATTGTTGAACATCAGAAATCAAGCAGAGGAAATTTTTCTATGGGAGCTGGGAGAAGGCCAAGTTAATTTTTGGTTAGATAACTTGGTTAGCAATGAGGAGAAGCTTGAGTGCCTTACCTCCAACCCCAACTTTAACTGTCAGGTCAGAGATTATTGGTCTGCTGATCAATGGAACTACATAATGCTTAATACTATTTTATCCAGTGAACATGTTAGATGGGTTAAGGATACTCCCTTCTCATCTAATTGCAAAGACAAAATTGTTACCAAACAAGCTTATTTGCAGAAATTATCTGCCTACATTTATCATCACTTTTTTGATTGGAATCAGATGACTTGGGGAAAAGCCATTTGGGGTAAACTCTAACCCCTTCTATGTCCTTCTTTTGTTGGAGACTGTGGCACTATTTAATTCCTACTGATGATATTCTAAAGATGAATGGGCTGAGAGGGCCTTCTATATGCCCATTATGCTATGCTGAAGAAAATTTGGATCACTTACTTTTCACTTGTAATTTCTCCCAAGAAATCTGGTTAGGACTACTCAATCTTCTGAACATTGATACTTGCAACTTAAGTTGGTTTAAGTTTATTACTTGCTGGGAGGATTGGCATAACAGTAAGCTTTCGGTGATCCCTTGTTTGGTGGCATGGTTTATATGGATGTGCAGAAATAAAATCAAGTTTGATGAACACTTCCCTG